TTTTCTCTTCTTCGCAAGATTTAATAAGTTCTACAATTTGATCAACATTATAAACCTGACCATCAGTAAGAAGGAAACGGAGTAGGAATATCACTCCTTGAGTTTTAAAAGGCCCATTTTAAAGGATTATAAATTTCAGTTTTCATCATAACTTGCAGTCATTTTTTGAGCATGTTTAAGAGCTTTTGAGAAACTTTCTTGGGAATAAGGTTGACTTTTTTCAAACAAAGAATCAAAACAAGAACCGAATGATATCACATTAAATAAACAATCTTCGGGTAATGAACGAAGTAATTGGAGTGTCTCGGAGGCTTTTTCATAGGCCAACCTTGCATTGGGCCAGACCTATTATCATAGGATTTATTAATATTATGATATGATGATGCATATCGTTGTCTGTTATGTTTTTAAACATTACGTATCAATCACAAAAATTAACTCTGACATTATTGCATTAATAGAAAATTTTGGTACTAAAGTTAGCATAATGCAATTAGTTTCTGTCTTAGAGTCATATTCAATGAATGCCCTAAGTAAGAGAAAAAAATATTTAATTACAGTAATTTGCAATAATCATTAAGAGATTAAGGGTATCATTACCTTGGCTGATCGAGATCAAGACTAAATAAGTAATTTGCTCAGCTAAAGTAATCTTTGAAACATTCGGATTACCATCAATATTTAATTCAGTCGAAATATGATGAGATGGTGATTCGATGCTTTGAATAATAGAAGTCATTCTAAATGTAATGTAAAATTTAAATAATAGTCAGTCTTTTCAGCATATTATACATCATCATAAATAAGATTTTTCCCATCATTTGCAGGTGATAACCGGATGAACCGTATAGCAGTAGGAAAAACAAATCGAAAATTTTCAGATTCAGAAACATGTTTTAGTTCGGTTACATATATGATTCTAATAACAATCGTTTGACTAGCTGTGATATTACCAACGGAGCATTGGAAACATCCAGGAGTTGTTCTTCAAGAGGATAAGCCCCATGACCTTGCTGTATAAAAAATATTATGTGTAAGCAAACTATGCATACGTACGTATCGATATGTCACGCAGATCATGTGTAAAATTTTTAATAGTGAGTCAAATGATCGACGCACCTAAATTTTATAAGTAAAATTTAAGCAGAATTTGCTTTTTAGGCTTATTTAACAATAAAGAAGTTGTCAGTTTAATTTCTAAGTATCATTTCGCAAATTCTCCAGCATTTGAAGGGTTTTCCCAAGAAATTTCAAGGCTAGTTAAAAATAAGACTATTGCTAATTTTCACCCTAGGTGATATCACCTAGTGGTATAAAAACCAATCAGTTCGCCAGATCTTGTATAATCAAAACAAAGCAAAGAAAAGAAAAAAAAAAACAAAAAACTCAAATAACTCAAGATTTTATTATAAAAACCATGCTCTGACTTCTAAGCAAAAGTTTTCAACGTCAAATTTTATATATATTTAAACCCTTTTAATCTAACCTAAAGCCAACCCTAATTCCTAATCTTAAATTTATTTTACTTGTATATAATAAAAAATTTATAATACCGGGTGATATCACCTAGGGTGAAAATTAGTTATAATCTAAAAATAAAACCCAAAAGAATTATGAACATGAAGTTAGCCAATTTTTTTACGACTTTTACTATACCAGGAATGAAGTTTTACGGAAGTGAAACGAAGAGTATGGCTTACAACCATCTTTGATGATGTACGTACACAAACTCTTGCATTTTGTTGGTCAGCGTGATCGTAGATCTTTTCTTTCTTGATTTTACAGGTATTGCCTTGTGAATTGTGCATTATTATTGCTCAATCAGTGACTTTATTTGAACGAAGAAAAACATATGGGGATTTCGTTTGCTATCAGTTACAAGCATTACACCACTCTTATTAGAATATAGAATCACTCTATATAATCTATTGCATTTTCACATAGAGAAATGCAGCAAAGCAGACCGCATAGCTGTAATGAGAATCGGTTAATTAGCATCATATAGTAACATGAATGTTGTCATCTACTCATAGGCCCTTGCACTGCTATTGCAGCCATGGAGCCTAACTACGAAATAAGGTTTTTGCACTGCTATCATAGCTGCGAAGCTAATTACAGCATGAGGTCCTTGCACTGCTATCATAGCCACAGAGCCTAAACATAATATAAAGTCCTTGCACTGCTATTGCAGCCGCAGAGTTTAATCATCAAATATAAGGTCCTTGCACTACTACTGTAGCTATGGAGCCTAGTCACAATTTAAGGTCCTTGCACTGCTACTGTAGCCACAGAGCCTAATCACAACATGAGGTCATTGCACTGCTATCACAGCTACAAAACCTACACATAATATAAAGAAAGTCCTTGCACTGAAAATTGCAGCTGCAGAGCTTAATCAACAAATATGAGATCCTTGCACTACTACTGCAGCTGTGGAGCCTAATCACAATTTGAAGCCTTGTACTGGCATCGCAGCCATGAAGCCTAAATGTAATATAAAGTCCTTGCACTGCTATTGCAATACAGGGCTTGATCTAAAGTTGGTCACCAAAACCTTTTTGGCCAAATCCGAAAGTTTTGGGTTTCGGATTATAGTTTCCAAAACCTCATCCGAAACCCTGAAACCTTATCTGAAACTCAAAACCCTACCCGAAATCCCGAAACTCTATTTGCATAATAAGTTTTGATAAAATCAACAAAAAAGTATGAAAATCAGAATGAATTATCAAGACACTGCAATTGCATTAGAAAATCTTGTAGGTTTAATTTTCAATACGCTCTAAAATATTATAACTCTGATTATTTATTTGAATTTAGAACATTATACTTATCATTATATCAAATCTGCAGAATAACTACTTAGTTAATTTTTGTAATTAGTAGATCCAAATGTAAGATCCACAAATCTGGTTTATATTATTAATAAATCTAGATCTTATTAAACTTAAATTTAACATTTAAGTCTGGATCTAACAATCAAATCCAGATTTAATGATTAAATTTGAATATTTTAATCCGATAATAAGATATTTTTATAATCGACAATCATTATCATATATTAAAGTCAAAATTTTATTATGAAAATCGATCTTTTGCTTTTAAGTAAAAATGTTTGCAAGAACAAAATACTATTACTCTAAAAATTTTATTTAAATTGGTTAAT